GTTGTGGATAAGGGAACGAGTAGAGAAATAATATTAATTGCTAGTCAACATTGTGTACAGAAGAGTAAAAAGTTAATATAGGATAAACAGGAAGGAACTCACAGTAACTTGGTGCTGATGTTATTTTCTGTTGTCTTAACCAGTTGATTGGTAACAGGTTCCATAGATGCAAGACCACTGGTAGTAGGCAGCCGATTGTCGGGTCCTCTTGACTTTTTAGGGTGGTAGTGATTGTCCCCTTCTGCGTTTCTTCAGAAATGCAGTTATACACAAGTTGCTGGCTATTTGGTCATTAACTTCTGTATCATGTGCGTCACATTGATTTGAGAACGAGTACTGTCTGATAATATACTCTTTAATTAAAATACAAAGAAAAACCATACTAGGTTGTATCTGTTTGTTTAAGGAAGCGGTATTAGAATTGGAATTACACTTGACAATCCATGTTTCACTGAAAACATTGAGCTTTCAAGGATCAGTGGAGTCAGATAATGATCGATCATTTTCCCTAACCGCTTATGGCAACCACTACGTCTAAACAGTTGCAGCAGAACGTTCTTAACGCCTAATATGACATATAACCGCTCGTTGTTCTTCAAACTTGAGCCAAAACACTATTTTGGAACTATAAACGACACAATACCAAGTGGTTATAAAAAAATATGCAGAACAATTAATTGACCAGGCTATGCAGCCATTGAGTTATTCAACAAGGTTTTTGCAATCAAATCTAGAATTTATGAAGTATACAAACTGATAATGAACACAAAAATGGTCGCTTGTCAAAGGAGATATGCGTTTCCAGGACGTTCATCTTTCATGCAGGTAGGTAACCCTCGTTCTATTGATAAAAGAAACCGGACTAGTAGTAAATAGGTCTTTAGTTAGCTCGTGTGACAGTCACAGTGGAGCAGGGTGTTACCTGTTCAAACACACAAAGCTTTTCGACACTCAATATGTGATAATAGGAAACGTAATGCCCATATGAAATAAGGAAGTGAATAAATACTTGAGTTCTACTGGTTTGACATATTCTTGGTTTTTTGAGGTTGACCCTTAACTAACCAATCTGATCGAATAAATCGATTGTTCAGACACAGACAGCCAAGGCGTTTGTACAAAACCAATACAATCTATCTCTCAATTAACTATTAAATAAGGATTTAAAGAATATAAGCTAGTTCTAACATAATCACTGCCGTAAAAAGTCTTTGGAGATGCGCTGATTTATAACGTAAGAAGAATCACACTGTTCTCTGACAACATCGTTCTTGAATTTGAACTTACGTTAGCCGTTGAAAACTTGGCGTAAATCATATAAGGTGAATGTGGGAACACTTAATTAGGAATATAAGACTCGGCCATGCAGGCACTATCACTTGGTATTAAACAAATCATTCTATTTTCAGCACAAGTACTTGATCATCAACTTCTCACCCTATAGATATATAGGGCCAATGAAGGGCAACTGAGCAATAGCCGAATCATCTAAAAGGCAGGTTGTTGGAATCGAACAATTGACTGAGCCTATTCAATGTAAAGACAACCAGATCATGTTGGTCAACTGCATGCCATGAACTGGCTCATGCGGCATTGTTCGCAATGTGTTTCTTCAACCTATTCTAATGAATACTTCACTTCAATAACACAATGTTTGTTCAGTATGTTCACCAAAGTCGCTACATATTTCGGTTACTATGAGAGAGTAACTCGTATAAAGTATTGGCCGCTTGGAGGTTACAATCTGGGCAAACCTCGATTATCGGCACAGATCACCAAGGTTGGTGGTTCACAGATATAACAAAAGCATGTGAACTGAGTGATATGAAATACCAGCACAAAACCAACATTGGCCGAATTTCTGACTGATGTAACTAGGCACTCACATATTATTTACGTTAAAGAAAGCCCTCTTTATCCTAGGACTTTCCTCACTAAGTATCATTCACTTTTGTCTGTCGTGTGACGTGAGATATCAACTTAACTAAATTCGGTGGTTTCTGATACCATTGTTTGTGCTTTACATACTTACCATCCACGGACAACACTTATTTCTAACCGTGATATGACAGTCAGAATAGATGAGCTGATTCAGAAGGACCAACTACGCAAAATACGAAGAAATATTATGAAAACCAGACCAAAATTTTGAGGTCCGTTATTGCGGTTAAAAATTAAGGAAAAGTATGAAATATCTCCAGACAGTTCTGCTGCATACAAACAAATCGAAAATGTACAACTATAAGGATTTCACGGACTAATTCGACAGTATACAACTGGTTAAATACAAGAGCAGTTCCGGTCACAAAAGATCACCACTCCCTTGGACACATCCAGAAAACGTTTTTTAGCTTTTTTTCCACTACAAATGTCAAAAACTAGAAGGATCAATTTTTTTACGATATTAGTTTATGAACTACCACATTGAAATCTCGCTATGAATCATTTAAACCCTTTGTTTGTTTTAGTGTGCCTTTTTATTGTACTGGCCTCTTCTATGTATTGGCGACAAAATGTATTCCGTTATTTACCGGATGAACAAACTTGCAAATTTCATTGGTAAAGAAAGAGATGAATATAAACTAAAGTAACCAGTTTTTTCACAAGTTATTGTTTAAGGGCTTCAATATGTTCTGGAGTAACTCACAAAAACAACCCTTCTCTACAGGAATTGTTAGATGTAAACACTAATCATTCTTTAATGATTTCTGTTAATGAAATCAAAACATCTCTTTCATTCCTGGTAAGCGACAGATTCGTTATTTATTCTGCAGGTTAAGGATTTGAAGGTCAGCGAGGTGAACTCATATGATGCTTTTGCTGAAAAATGCAGTGGAGTTATTTACTTTTTAGTGCATATAAATATGCACAACTTTCGGCCGACATTGGAATGCATGGAAAGCAAAGAACTGAATGCTGCTTATGATAATCTGCTGGCGGATATACATAAACGGTTACTGCTCATCCAACAGCATACGTACAATATTGACAATTTTAGAAAATACAGAAGACAAATAGCTGACCTTTTGTTTGCAGAAAGGGAAGAAAAATCTGTATCTGTTAGTCTTAAACCTCAATACTAGTAACGTTTTACTTAGAAATATCTTTCAGATACGGAAAAATTTCTTGAGGAGTATATTTTTCAGGATAACTCAAACATCACTCTTTGTGAGATGCTTTCTTGGTGGAAAGATTACATAAATGTTCTGTTTTGTCTTCTCGATGATTTCTACTCGTCGTCAGGCTTTAGCCTTCTGCATACTATGATAATCTACCTTAGAAAGTGGTCAAAAGTCACTCATTTTAAAGTAATACTGTCACAATTATATATTCAAGTGAGTAATGCGATATGTATGTAATTTAAAACCTATTTCAGTTTCAATTTGAGAACATCGAGTTCTTAAATGGCTGCAGTACTTTATGTTTCACTTTCTCATTGACCAAATAGTTCAGAGTAGTTATAGTCAAACGCAGTTGATTTGACAAGCCCATTTTTATTTTTAATCACGCACCCTTTTGTAGCCACACTCTATTTAGCAACAACGACTTGATGTCGTGATTAATATGGTCATTAGTTTTCATATAATAATCCAGTGAGAGGAATTTAATTGTTTCTCCAGGTTATGTGCTACTTATATTTTCATTCATGGAAACTGATATAATGTAATAACTCTTATATGTACATGTCACTACGTTTGTTTTCACCAACAAAACTGTATGTGGCAAGAATTATGTGCTTATTTACTTTTAACTTAAAAAGTTGTGAACTTTGCAATCGTTACTGTATCAAAGAAGACGATAACTTGTAGAATATGTCACCCACACTTTCTATGTAATTTAACGAAATATAAGGTTTTAGTCGATTATCAAAGCTTATGGGAGCTATTTTCATACCCATTTATTGTTAGACAAATGATTACTATTAAGTTCTAAAATGTGTTGGTGTTCGTTTTTCTGCCGAAAAGATTTAAATTAATTTCCAAAATGTGCACGATCGTCCTAATGATTAATGATGTTTTACACAACTGCACGTGGTTTCAAATCCTACCTAATGGAAATGTGATCTCTTCGGCAGATAAACGTTTTCAATTCTGGGTTCATTAGCTTCAGTTTCATGGTTATATGTTTTGAATCTTTAACAGGTTATTTTATATCATTTTCAGAAACTACTAGGTGATGATTTAGGAAGGCTTTCTTTACAAGAATTACGTAACATCAATGAAATTTTAAAGATATGGTCCAATATATCAAAACAATTGAAAATAATTCAGCTAAATCTTTTAACTCAACTAGATTCTGCCAAAACAGATATTCATAGGGAAACATCACTTAGTGATAATTCAAGCGACCTGTTGGGTGAACAATTCGAAAGTCCAAAAACAAATCTTGGTACAATCTTTGATTTGAGCTTTTTTGATTCGTTTTTCTTTTTTGATCAAACACATGAATACACTTTGGATACAAGGCGCCACTCTTCTAGCTCTCTTCAGTCTCATAAACCTAAAAGTAAGCCAGTATATTGCCAAAGATTTTGATTGCATTTTATTTACACTTTAAATAATAAGGAACATACTATAGACGTTAATTCTAAGAATACTTAACTATCAGTATGACACAAATTTGAACAAAAAGTACTTTTGTGGCCCTCTACAATTTGGCCGATGGCATAGAATGGAAAGTATAAATACATCACACTCCAGCTTAGATGGTTCTCGGAACTGCTCCTTTATGTTTTCACACTAAAAGCTACAATACTCGACTGCTGGCCAGGTTTTTTTAACTAGTTCGTCAGATTCTGTCTCCAACACTCATGAAAACAAAATGTGGGCATATTTTTACTCATTGCAACAATAACTACATATTCACTATCACATACCATGACTCGTGGAAAATTAACTGACCAGAGGATTGACAGATTGAAATACTAGTATAAAGCTGATTTATCTAGTCAAACAGCTATATAGCAAAATTTATGCGGTGAATGGAATCAAACTTAACTTTTATTTGCACCAAAACCATTTAAGTAGACCCATTAAAATATCAGTAGCCAAAGTTCTTTCATGGGCTTCATCCAAGAGAATAACACCGTATGCCTCGAGCAAAGGATCAGACATGCCTTCACGTAAAAGCATACCATCAGTCATGTATCTAAAGCAATTATGGAAAAGTCTAAAAGTTACTTCATCACAGTTCTTGAGGACGTGCAATCCTCGAATCGAATACTGTATCCTACTTCTTGACCGAGTTCAACATCCATTTCCTCGGAAACACGCTGAGCAACAGACATAGCTGCTACCCTTCTAGGTTGAGTGCAGGCCACTGCCTTTTTGGTAGGATACCGTCCAGTTACCCATTCCAGGCACCACTGAGGAATTTGGGTCGTTTTTCCAGAACCTGTTTCACCAACTAAAACAGTGACTTGGTTCTCCGATAATGTCTGAAAAAAATTCTCTTTGTATTCCCAAACAGGTAATTTGATACGCTTCCTCAGAAGTTCGAAGTATTTGGCACTAAATGATTTGCCTGAAACAAGGTACAGATTAGAACAATTCGATGGACAGTATTTAGTATTTTTCGCCATTAGTACACAATTCATACTGGTCAACTGTATACATAAACTGAATCATAACATCAAAGACAACATGAAAAAATAAGATATAATTCAAATCAATATAAACATTTCCGTTAATCTATTTTTTCCTGAGTATCCATAACGATGTCAGGAGTAAATGATAGTTAGGACCTTAGCTTCTAAGTACAAATTTGCCTTTAGGGGCGTGACATTAGTGATCTTGTGGAAACATGTATTTCTAAACGCTGTGAACTCGAAATGCACAATTGGCATAACTTGCAAGCATAAAGTATTTCTTTAAATTCTTATCCGCTAAAGTAACAGACTTAAAATTATTTCTAACATTTTCAATGTAGCCATCATATTCGAAACACTAAGTCCCAATAAGAGAAAGATAACCTACAAAAGCCAGTCTTATAAATGCAGATCAAATGTAATTTATAATGAAAGTGCCTGGTTATAAGTAGGAACAAGTTAGAAAAAAACGAACTACTAGTGCCCCTTTATCCATTATTAGAAGGGATTTACAATCTGGCTAATTAACATATGACAGTTTAAGATCAACAAACAGATTGAGATAAACGCAATTCCATTTGACTGATTTTGATCGCTTATCGTCCCAATTTATAAGAAACCACAAGAAATCCTGAGTCAGGTTCAAATTTTATTCCAAAAAGAGTATGCTATAAAGCCCACAACACAAATCGCTTATTGATTATATACCTCAAATATTTTGTTTGTAAGCATGTTATTTTACTCGAAAACTTCTGTTGAGTTGTACTGTATTTTGATAACAATTCATTTGACGATCTACGTCGACGATTTAGTCTCGCGACTTGTAATCGACCTGCCACATCGTATTATCGCCAACCAACCATTGAACAGTTTTTTATCTAGTTTAACGACTGCGCCGGGACAACCGAGAGTAATGAGAGCCTGCTCTCCCTCTCGAAATGCTCTCATATGGCCACGTGCATACAACCACTGCCAGGGAAGTCCTACTCACTGTCTTCTCGTGGCGGGGGTGCTGTTTACGAAGTCGAGAGGACGAAAAGCGAATGTCCGGCGCTTTAACTGGGTTGGCGGATATGGAGGATCTACCTAGGGGAGTTGAAAAACCGTGATTCCAAACCAATGGTGCACATGGGCCCCAGTATCCTGCAGGAACAAATGGCGTATGAAGCTACTGTTGATCACCGGCCACCACGGGACTGCATCTCCTTACGTTGTTCTACTACCTTGTAGATCAGACCTTTAGGTCGAAGGCTCGAGGAGTGGCCCCCTAAGAAAACCACCTGCTTCGGTGTAGGCACCCGGGCAGTATCACAGCTCTCACACATATCAAATGAGATTTGTGTGGCGCATATGTCTTCGGTGCCTCCTTGTACCAATGTTTATGTTTAAATAAATAAATGACTGCGAAATGTGCACCATCATTCATTAAAACTTAGAACAGTAGTTTCTTAACATCTCACTGTGGATCTCTATAAAATACTCATTGAGTGCAGTAGAGCTGTGGAGTGACGATGGTAGTGAAATATTAGGTAGATGCGGTAGACCACTAGAATGTTTTGACCTTTATCTGAAGTAGCTGGATGTTGAGCACGCCCATTCACTGGCTACCGTGACATGCGGTGAAAGCTTATTATTATTTATTTATTTTAACACATAGATATTGGTACAAGGAGGCACCAAAGACATATGCGCCACACAAATCTCATTTGATATGTGTGAAGGCTGTGATACTGCCCAGGTGCCCAAACCGAAGCAGGTGGGTTTTTTAGGGAGGCACCAGGTGGCCACACTCGAAGCCTTCGACCTGAAGGTCTGATCTACAAGGCAGTGGAGCAACGTAAGGAGATGCAGTCTCGTGGTGGCCGGTGATCAACAGTAGCTTCATACGCCATTTGTTCCTGCAGGATACTGGGGCCCATGTGCACCATTGGTTTGGAATCACGGTTTTTCAACTCCCCTAGGTAGATCCTCCATATCCGCCAACCCAGTTAAAGCGCCGGACATTCGCTTTTCGTCCTCTCGACTTCGTAAACAGCACCCCCGCCACGAGAAGACAGTGAGTAGGACTTCCCTGGCAGTGGTTGTATGCACGTGGCCATATGAGAGCATTTCGAGAGGGAGAGCTGGCTCTCCTCACTCTCGGCCGTACCAGGGTATTTGGGGGCACAGTGAAGGCTAGGATAGAACCAGGCTTGAAAAGCTAGGGCCAGTAAAGCAAAGTCACCGACTTTCAGTCGGACATATTTCGAAGATTGAAGACTTCTTATATGAGACCTGCACGATAATCGTCATATAATTGAAGGCATTTCAGTAAAATTTAATAAAATGGGAACTGATCAAGTTAAAGAGTCAACCTAATATAACCAGGAAGTGAGTGATCTTTATGAACTACATTTCCAAGCTTGGTGTCATCAGATTTCCATAAAGTATAAGCACTATTGAATTAACAAAAATGACCACTAATCACAATATTATATCAACGCTGTCAACTATCGTATTAACATATTTAAAAAAAAGACGAAACTGACCGTTGTAAGGATTTGTTTGTGCTGTGAATGGAGACTTATTTGAAGCATTCTGTTTAACTTTGACGTGATTATCTGGGGAGCGTGAGCGATCACGTGTATGATTATCCGGTCCATCAGAAAACCTGTGACAATAATACAGTAATAATGCGAAATAAGATGAGAATATGTCGATGAGACAGGTACTAACAAAAAGCGAAACACGTAAACTTGATACCTCCGCTACATTGCTTGTGCAAACTGTTTACTGAATTCAAAAAAGATACAGAAGCCTATTCGTCTTCAATAAAAGGATGCGAGAAATTTATAGTAAATACATTTGCTGAAAAACTACAAAAGGGCTAAGTAGTCATTGTAAACGATGATTACTAACATTATGAACGAAAACCCCAACCACAAATAAGATCTTATTGGTGTAGTGTTGAGCGCATTAAAAACGGAGAAACTAAATCACATTCTTTACAAAAAGCTACCAAATATGAATATTTGACACCAAGATACAATTATGAACTGGGTTATAAAATTACTTGACTAAGTACGACAGAGGAAACTAGTTTACTTTCTGATTCAATAAAAAGTGCACTTGAATAAAGGCTTTGCTTGCTGCAAAGGACAAAGATTTACCAGACTGCTTGAAGCGTAGATGGTGCTGTGTAGTTTAAGTACATAAAAAACAAGCAAAATGTAGTCCTAAACAAAAAAAGATTGATAGAAAAATGTTTTAAATCTACTCATTGTTCATGAAACTTATTCTCGAAATCAGCCTCATGAACGACAAGAACTTAATACTGCATATCATATTACATTTTCAACACCTCAGACTTATCGCCCATCTAGAGTCCAGACAATGAGCAAAACTTTAGGTTTCTAACACGTGGTAGCGTTATAAATTTTTTTATTGATCCTCAAACATGATGGCAGATACCAGACATGGTCCATAGTATTAAACTATCAATCAATCATTTACTACGTACGTTATGTGCTCAGCTTTGAGATACATCTTTATCTTAATGATACCACTCAGTTGCACAAGCCAGAATAGATAGGACGAATTTGAACCCAAAAGCTACTAATTAGGAACATGATGCTTTAACCATTGAACGACCACCACCAAATTAAATATTTTACATGATTACCTAATAAGAATTTTATATTTCCAGAGGGTCATCGGCTTTAGTAAAAACTGACGACTTTTATCTGGGTTGAAAATCATATACAAAAATACTAAACACAGGGTTCAATGGTGTTAAGTTGGAGGATCTCGTGTACCTACCCCAAGATGAAGAGTGACCCTCTCATATGACAATAGTGATTTTACGTTTAATACCAGACGAGGATAACTAAGTGCCAACCTTCAGGACTCTGATCCCTGTATGGTGGCGATGGATTTCATGTCCGTTTATCATTGCCAAAGGGTTACCAAACATTGGGTCGTCAGAAGTCTCAAAGAAAAATACTAATGTGAGACTAAAATTTCTACTGATGCCTACAACTTGAAATGTTATGGAACAGAACTTAAAAACTGGTCAGTAACGTCACCTCTATTTTCTACAAGATACTAAGTTATCATACTCTATTATTTTACACAAGATTTTCTGTTTTTTTTCGCAGCCGTACTTTTGAAACTACGTTAATAGACAGTGAAGTCTTACCACAGCTACAAAGTACTTAATAAGTACTCATTCACCGTACTTATATCCCTATAACTCGTTTAACCTGTCCAGTGAGTGTAGGCAACCAGCATAATCGCTTCAAAATAACTAGCCCAAATTACTCCAAACGACCCTGACTAGCAGCTTCGCAGGATTAACCGTGCATAAGATTGGACGAGAAACATGGGAGGAAGTGCATGAAAAATATGGGGCTACATCTATTTGTAGTCACACGTTACGACATATCTGGTGAATGACTACTGATCCGAGGGCCAATTCATAATAGTATGAAACGAATAAAGCATAACTCAATTAGATATAAAATCCTGAACGTTTTCAGTAATTACCTTGACCGTCTGGGCTTAGATTCACCGATATCAATCCTATGCCTTGACGACATCACACTAGGAAAGTACGAATGCGCGGGAAACCCAGCCTGTTTAATAAAACAACATCAATTTTCTTTTTTGAAAAAAAACCCATAATCTGGAAATCACGTCTTCAGAAGGAACAAAGAGTTTATATTCAAACAAACAGTTTTCTTGTCAGTTAGTTCTGGAACAGGTTAACGTTTCCCCTCGATGTTTTGTTTCAGGTTCAGATTTGTGTAGTAAGGACGGAAGGACTACGGCCTATGTTATTCAATTTGTAGTATTTTCGTGAGTGTTTATTCTTCGGTTGAATGAGTCAGTTTAAGGTGCGGACAACTCTGATTCGGCTAACAGGTTTCATGAACTGATGACTCGTGTGAAAACCTGTATACCACAGGAGTTTTGTCCGTTCTTGACTCTCCTACTCGTCTGTTATGTCCCCTGAAATGTCCCGATCTAGTGGGAAGAAAAAGAGGATGTTAGGTCCAAAATCACTTCTTAGTATTCAATACATAGAAATCAGACCATATCTTAATTTCGCTCTAGGACAAAGTAAAGAGGTCTAGCTTTTCCAGCATCTCTTTATATGATAAACTTGGGAGTTCCGGAAATCCATGGGTAGCTGCCCTCTCTATGTTCTCCAGGATATCCCAGTCATCTTTCAAACAGGGGCTTGCAGCCTGAAAGCAATTTTCAAGATTGTTTCTCACCAGGGTTGCGTAAACTGTAGTGAATATAGTAGTATCAAACAAGGTGAATGTCCATCTTAAAGCCGATGGGGTTATAAACCTCTTGGCTGCAATCTCTCAGCAGTGAGCCATGGCTTTAAGATCATGACTCACTGTCACGCTAAGATTATTGTGGGACCGAATTACGAGTACTGGTATTTCCCCTATGCTGTACCTATTTAACTTTGTATCCCCAATGTGCATGTTGGCACATTGTTCGCGCTGATAGGTCCCAGCCACTTTATTTAGACCAACTAATCAGAATATTTAGGTCTGCTCAAAGTGTTCAAAGTATTGGAGACTGCACTATAATTGGTAGTTTATTTACATACAGTACGTAGTAGATCTAGGATAGAACCTTGCTGTACTCCACTAAGTACTGGTTTCCAGGTGGACCACATCGAATTTATTCTTACTTTCTGTCTAAGACCTATCAACACATCATTAAGCGAATTCAGAAGATGTCTGGCAATGCCTGTAATTTCTAGCTTCAAGAGCAGTCTACGTTTTGACACCTTGTATTCGAATTGGGATTACCAATTGTAGCGTGGCGTCGAGTTGAGATTAACTATGAACACCGCTACCAAGAAACACGTGCCAAGCGAATCAGAAGGCGTAAGAAGCTCGTTCCAAATGACTCCATAAAATCCCCGAGAAGCCAAATATCAGAAGACAGTTAATGGACCAAGTCGAGGTTTATTAGCTGGCAATCTCGTGGCATCGAAAGGATACCGAGATCGTGCCAGGATACAACCTTGGTTACAGAATGTAACCGAATTCGCGCGAAGTTACAATCAAAGTGTAAGCGAAAGAATGGAAGCACAAAATAGCTGTCATTAGCACAGTCAAATAAAAGCACGTTAAAACAAACACTGGTACAGTTGATTATGATAATAATTGTTTTTATTAAACCAGTCGTGTTCTCGTGATAAACGTGAGTCACTACAACCTTATCAAATGTCTGTGTAGACAACATCCACTGATCTTCCATTATCTAGAACTTCTATTCATTTCTCTCTTGTTGCAGGGGGAGTTATTGTGCAAGATAAACCTATTAAGATAAAAGTAGCACTATGCAAACGATCCAACATGAACTCAACATGGTAGACAACTGGCGCGAACGCTAGGGGTTAGGGCTGAACACATAAAAATTCCTTTGGTTATGAATAGGAGACACGTCTCTTAAAATAAAACTAGCACATAGCAAGAACACATTGCTCAGATTGACATAAGTAACTGACCTAGGCGTACATTACTCACACAGTCTCAACTTCTGTGAACATATCTCAACTAAAGCATCTAAAATGAGAAAATTGCTTGGCTTCATTCTTCATGATTTTCTTCAGAATGAGTCTAAAATCATTCTTTATAAAGTGTGTGTAAGACCTATTGTTTAATAATGCTTGTTCTTATTTTCCAACCTATACTTATTCGATATACTTAAGGTGGAAGTAATAGAACTATATTTCACTCGCAAAATACTTAAGAACGACTCACTCATTGAATATAGTTCCTGATGCCATTTCTTAGGATTAGAACCCCTTTGGAAAAGAAGGCTTAGGTCCAATTTGATTCTCTATCTCGAACTCCTCAAAGACCTTATTAATTCCACATATAATATAGCTCTTGCCAAAGACATACATGAATACAACCTTTGAAACAATGTATCCACGATCAAATTGAGAAATACACATCAAAAACTTAAAAAGTTGCATTGCATAAATACTTAGAACGATCAAAATACTAACATAATAATGTGGAGATTGAATCTCGTGTGTAACGTGTACGCGATGCCACTTTGGAGAATATTTTGAAGATTACTCAGAATATCTAAAAGAATGAACTGATATTCGCTTTTATAGACTATATTTGTCTAACATGCATACTGTGAAACAATAAATGTTGTCGTTTATAGATCATGTCTGTAAAAAAGGCATGTACCTGCCATTGCAGAAATATATATTATTTGTAAAGACTGAGATAAGAATTTCATAAAAGAGAGGTATTAATTTCCAGTGGCTTTTAAATTTTTAAAGGCCTTGAAAGTTTTCATCATTAGACTTCATATCATCAACGAGTATTATTAAATTAATGATAATACAATCTACTAACCTGCTCTTGAGAAAAAGATCAAAAGCGTTTTACTAGCATTAAAATTTCACTCATTGAGCTGAAAACCATCGCGAAAAAGGTAAAGACAGAGTTTGGATGAGGGTTAGTTTTCCAGTTGGAGAATGGTAAGAAGATCGAAGTATATAAAAAAATTTAATGATCGAAAGCGTCAGAAGGAACATCATATTGCTGATTTAATTGTTCCGGTGTTATTAGATTAATGGTAGCTACGACATTATTCCTTGTACTCGAATTTATAAATTTGTAGTATCTTTTAAAATCACTATTTTAACCTCAGTTATTATTATCATTGTCTACAAACAGTTTGCTGTTGTACAAGCGTAGCAAAGAAACTTTCGTATTCCTTCAGAAGTCCAATTATACCCAAGTTTCAATTATGTGCACATAATATCCATCATTTTTTGAAAAAATTTGTAATATTTTGGGGAAAAATAGTTAACTTCAGAGAAAAAAGTGAAGGGAAGCAAAGTAAAAGCTATTTGGTAAGTACGTTTGTTAAACGGAACAAGAATAAACAATAATATATGTAACGACCGAACTGTCAATATTCGGTTTGAACACAGGACTGACGAACCAAGATTTATTCGAATCGAAAAGATTACTTTCTTCTGTATAGCGTACGAGGCGTTTTTGAGTTGCTCGTGTTAAATTATATCGGAATACAAACTCTGTGTTTGACTTAAACGATTCTAATTTGGGAAATAGAACAAATCATATCAAAAATACAAAATACCTCAAACGGTACAGCCTGTGCTATACAGTCAAAAGTTTCTCTAGCACAAAGAAGCGTGCTAAACAACATAAGAAACAGTTAATACAAAATAGTTCAATACCTGAGAATTAATAATAATATTCCCAACAATATAAGATCAAATATCTGACTGCAGAGATTCCAGCAATCGCCCTAAGCTGACAATCAAAGGTTAACAGTCAGACACTGAACCACACTGTGAACTTGCGTTTAGTCAAACACGACCTTACTGTCAATAGTCCGGCAACATGCAATAGAAAATTAGGTAGCAAAATGTAAGTCTTTAATCAAAATCACATAATAAAAGCTTAGACGAGGAAGACCGAAAAACACAAAGTGTGATCAAAAGAGATCTGAACAAAGATTAAAATACACAACAGGGAGAATAAACAAGTAAATGACAGTAATGTCCAACTTAATGCAGTGGAGGGATTTTCATCGTTCTCTTTCCGTCACAATATTTTTATTACGAAATGAATCAGTAGAAAAATCGTCAATGTAGTAAGATTCTGATGGTAGAATAAGAGTTTGTGCAACGATAGTTCAACATCGTGCGATATAAAATCTTAGATGTGAACAATAATCATCAAATATCAACTTGCGCGGGTCGTATATGAGTGAAAATGACAAAATGATTCCAAAAAGTCAGTTTATGTATGCGTGATACGTGATAGTATGTCTTTAATTATAAACTTTGGATGATTAAGAATTACAGATGATGTAGAAGAAAAACAGGGGAGAAAAATAATGACCTAGACCATAATCCTACATTATTATCAGCTTTTGATTTTACCAAGTGCCATAGGCATCATGTGAGATTATATGTATTTTAAATGGCCTAGATAAAGTTGTAGTATCCTCCAGAACAAGAAATTATTCAAAATTTAACAATACGCAAAGTCATTAATAATACACGAAAAAATGTTAACACTTTAGACCAAAGTAGTTGTCTGTGGATAAAAAAGGTAACAAATAGCGTTTATAACAGAATGGTTTATTAAACAACAAAGACGGTAAAACCTGTTATGGAATGAACGTTGCTTGTAAATCTGTAGAATTATGGTCTACTATGATATTAGTACTGCTCTAATAATAGACCTAATCCTGAAATTGTAGATTTGTCATGATATAACTGCCTAATATATAAGATCTTACTTGGAAGTCACACCATCGGCTACATCAACTCACTGTATCGTGTCAATTACCAGTACATTATGTAGAACAAGGTTAGGCTAGAGAAGGAACAATATATTTAATATGAATAGAAGATATAAGGTAACATTCAGCAGAGACCACGCCTGCATGGCCGAGCCATGCCATTCGATCAACTCCAGTCCATTCTATTCATTGTTCGCGCCTTCTCCATTGTTAGGTATTTCCCCGAGTTAAATATTGAATATCTATTTTCTGAGTAGTC